AGCTAGCCAAGAGCTTTTTTGTAATTTACTGCCGATATAAAAAATAAAAGTAGGATCGCTGAAGTAAAAAAAAAAAAAAAGATAAATAGTTAAAATTATTTATAAAACTTATCAGTATTGGTAATCCAGTTTTAAAACTATATTATCATCATTTAAAAGACAGAAAGCTACTATAATGTGGTTTTGTTTATGACCTACATTATGTCTATCATCCCAAGTTTTAATCTAATTATATCTCCTAAAATAAAAATCGGTGAAGAAGATTGTTTCCAAAGAGAAAGAAGAATATTTAATAGACAAATCAAAGTCACCTAAACAAATTTTTTTTTTTATATGTAAATTTTACTATAAGCTCGAATGTGCAGTGCTTCTATCTAAAACTGTTTTTTTTACTAAGCAAATTACTCTTGAGCTTATAACGAAAGTTGTAGAGCTTATCAAGATGCATCTAATAGTGAAAGAACATTAAAATCAGTCTGGTAGTTCTTGAGAAATCTTTAAAAAACTTCTTTCTTACATATAAAATTTTTTTAAAGAAATTTTATATGTAAGAAAGAAGTTTTTTAAAGATTTCTCAAAAACTACTAAACCAATTTTAATGTTTTTACTACTATTAGATGCTTCTTAATGAGCTCTACAACTTTTGTTACAAGCCCAAGAGTAATTTATTTAGTAAAAAAAAAGTTTTAGATAGATGCATTCTACATTCACACTTATAGTAAAATTTATATATAAAAAAAATTATGACTCGCAATTTGTCTATTAAGTGAATATTATAACTGTAAACAGTTAGTTTTTTAAGCTTCATTTTATTATTTACAAACTGAAATCACAACATTAATTATAAGAAAAAGAATCTAACTATATATAATATTCACCTAAAATTATTTACATTAGCAGCCTTTAAATGAATACCTTATTTCCATCTCTAATTCTTTTAGATGATTGTGTTCTCAAGCAAATCACTCATTGGTTTGGTCATTAATTAGTCTCAACTAAACAACTAAAAAAAAAAAAAATTATTATTAGTAAATCGTATACACTTTCTCTCAATTGCATTAGTTAATAAATAGTTATTATCATTTGTCTGATTATGAAATTTCTTTTTAACTCTTAAATATTGAATAATAATAATATAATAAATGCATTAAGAGGTACAATCTAATAATAATTAATATATACCTTCTATTATGAGTTGAACTTCGATAAAGATATTTAAATTATGACAACAAAAAAAAGCCAATTTCTAAAAGAATTACAAGAATATTTAAGGGAAAGAGTCCAAATCTAGAATATGATTAGTAAAAGCTGCTGTTTTTTTTTAATTGGCTGATTTAAAATCAGCATTTCATTGTTTTTAAATAATTTTAGCAGTATCTTAAGTGCTGGCTAATTACACTAAGAGAGCTGCTTGAGAACACTCTAACTTAAATTTTTGTTAATTTTTTTTTGAGTTAAAACCTATTAACACAATTAACTTATTTGTTACATATTACTTATTTAAATTTGTTTCCTAAGTAAAGTTTTTAGAAATAATGATCTATACTAATCTTTTTTCATAGAAGATGCATGAGGAGTTAAAAAACACTATAATATAATTTAAAAAAAAATTATTTTGTAAAACTATGAGTTGCCAATTGATGATATGATTTTTCATAATAAAAATTACTTTAAAATTTTTTTTTATATTGTGTAACTCAGAGATCTTCAAGCCAATCAAATCAAATGTCCGCTATGCTATATAATTCTTTAATCAATATAGAGAAAAATTCTTGTTTCTGAAGTTTCTTCTCCCTAATTCTATGAATTATCTCTTTACTAACCTTTTTTTTATATGTCAAATCTAAGAATTCATTAACCGCCTTATCTTTCAATGATTTACTCTCTTTGCAAATAGGTGATGCAGGATATTGGGATGAAGACTCATGATATACATCAGGATTTGAAGTGTTATCAGATATATTATCAGAATTAATTTCAATTTGTTTAGGTGTATCATCAGAATTCGTTTTACAAGAGGCATTGACCATATTGCTAATATTAGCCGAAGATTGTTCTTTTGGAATGAATATATCTACCTGTTCAGACTTCTCAGTATTCTTACTCTGTGAGTTATTTTGTAATAGCTTTTGTTTTATTTTCGCAACCCTGAATCTAAACTCAATATTTTCTCTTGCAGATCATTCTAATTTCACGATTCTTACCTCAAGCTCATTTTTTTCTTTCGTAATTTGTTTCAATTTTGCGATTCTAGCCATAAGTCTAGCATTCTCCTGTTTCAATAAATCTAGTTTGGATTTGGAGTTTCCTATTGTTTCATATAAGATGTAGATATGTTCAAAAGTTTGTATATTGTTGTTCATTTGGGCAACAATTTTTTATAAAATAAAAAAGAGAGTCCAGCGACCTCGCTATTGTTTATTTTTATTTTAACACAATCATATAAATAAGTATTGGTTATTTTTTATATCGTTATTTTGATTCCACCCAAAAAATTGTCAAGAAAAAAATTCACAATCATATACGAGTAATGTAAACATAATAAAATAAAGAACCCAATTTTCATACCCCCCAAATTTAATATTTATACTCCCCTGAAGATTTAACTTTTTTTAAAACTTTGAGCGAAAATATTTCAATAATTATCAAGCCAAATTTGATAAACTTTTTTTTCTTTGAATTCTATAGATTCATAGAATTCAAATAAAAAAAAGTT